GTATGATTAGCATACACGAGTGCCGTAGGGTTGGTGGAAGTGTCATGGATGAGTTATGTGGGGTTAGCCGACCAATTGAGGGATGTATAACCTTTCTCTAGGAAGTGAGAATAGGATGTATGCGTATTCGAGTGTGTGTTGTTAGGGTTGTTATGATGATCTTGTTACATTCATAAAATTCATGAAAAAATTAAACTTTTAAATTAACCCAAAAATCATCATTGTTTACAAATAGTTTTCAAAACAAGTTGAACATCAGAGTAATCCCAAAATCATGAAACAAAACATGAGGAGGTGCACGATCACGCCTTCGCGTTCCCGCGATCCTCTGAGGAACCTGAAACATAATCCGCAACTGTAAGCCCAAAGCTTAGTGAGTCCCCCCCAATACCAATACATAACAAATAACACAAATATAATAACAACATGAAATGGGTCCACAGCTAACAGACTGGATTACCCATGAGCCTACAACATAAGTGTGGCTTGCCCCCCGGGCCCACAGCTCATGTCTGGCTTGCTCCCCGGCCTGATCAGTCCTCAGACTGAATACTACTAAGCCCTCAGTACGAGTCTGGCATGCCCTTCCCGACCCTCAACTCATATCTGGAATGCTCATGTGACATCCCCAAATTCACGGTCATTTTAAAAATTTTATTTATGCTTATTTAAAAATCAGAGTACCCTTTTTGAAAAGTAGTATTGCGGAATTTGTTCCCAGAAAACATCATAAATATATTATCAAAGCATTTCTGAATAAATGTATTTTGTTTATATTAAAACTTTGGGATGTCATTGTCAATACATAAACATAAGCATAAACAGACCTTACATTCATTTACACTAGTGATTTACATCTCGTTTAATCTCTCAGTGTAATGTGTGTCTTCGTATCGATACCTGTGATACAAATAAACTGAATGGGTTAGGTTGAGAAACCTGGTGAGTATATAGGGTTTTCAACCCACAATAATATAGTTAATTTGTTTCTTCACATAATTCATGTCAAACAATTAACCCGATTACCCATCCCCATTTTCTTCATTTAATCTTCCCTAAAAATTTATGCTAAGGGTCATCTCCTACATCATATTTGTTGGATTAGGTGTCTAAGCCCATAACTATAATTTGTATGTACTTGACCCGAGAGTAGCATGGTCCATTTGGGTTGCCTTCACCAGAGCAATTTGATAGGATGGACTTTTTGAGAAGAGGTTATTTGTGATTTATTAATATATTATAAGTTCTAATATATTAATATGAAATCATATTATTTAATTAGTATTGATCAAGAATTAATTTGGAATTAATTTAGTGATCAAAAGAGACTAGTTAGATTAATGGGGACTAATTGTGTAAATTAGTTATATATATTGTTTGGGCTTATGATACATGATGGACTAAGTTTATGAAAGAATCCATAAAGAGTTAGTCCATATGGATCATGGATCATGGATAATAAGCCCAAGGGTATAGATTAGGGTTTAACCATGACTCTTAGAATCCTACAATATATATATGTCACCCCATAGCTAAAATCGGCTACTACATATGTTCTAAGAGTTCATTTGAGCCGATTTTATGCAAGGATATTCTCTCTCAAAAGCCCTCCATTTGTTCATGGTGTTTGTGAACCATTTGAGGCATCACATTTGAGGTGCTAAGTTCTTAAAGGCCAAAACTACAAGCTACAACAAAAAGGTAATTCTATAATTCAATTCTATGTTGTTTATGTCAATTGTATGCTAGTTGTAGGCTTCATTCTTTGGAAACAATATTGCATGTATAATTAGAGAAAACATAGATACAAAACATTTAGGTTTGTATGTGCACCATAGGATGTTGTAGTATACTAAAACCCAACAGTGGTATCAGAGTCTAAGATTGTTTTCTGTTATATTTGAAGCATGGCTAATATTTTCAAAGCTGGAAAACTGTTCTGACAGCACCTACTCGACGAGTACATGCTTGGACTCGACGAGTAGGATGTTTTTTGCCTTGAACTCGATGAGTCCATAATTGGGCTCGACGAGTTGGATGATCATACAACAGTTTTTCAGATTTTTTTTGCCTGTTTTGCATTAGGATCATTACCACAAAATGTTTTAGTTCATAAAATTTGATTTTATTGGTATGGTAATGATTATACTCATCCAATCAAAAGATAATTGTCAAAATTTCAAGATTTGTATTAGTTTATATGTTAGGCTAATTTCTTGTAAATTGTTGATATGAATTGTCTTGACTTATGAGTTTAACTAGATCACAGATAAATTATATAATAATTTTTATTTGTTAAAATATTGATCTAAATGTTCTTTAAAGTCTTCCATAACTTGTCCTCCAGTTATGGAACATGAAAAGTTTTTTCATAAAAACCACATTAACTCATAAGTTATGGAAAACCAAAAGGTTTTAAAGAGTTACAAAACTTGCCCTCAAGTTTTGGTATTTGAAAAGTCTCAAATTAAAAAAAACTCTTGTAGTTAAAAAGGTGTAACTCTTGGATTCATAAATTAAAAATTAATTAAATATTTTTTAATTTTGAATTTTATTTAGAACCTTGATGTTTTTGAATAATTCAAATTACACCTTATGAACTTTATTAAATTAATTAAAGTGTTTAATTAAAAGAGAATTAATAATTCCATAATGACATGGTTTAAGTTTAATTAAATTAAGAGTATAATTTATTAATAGATTAAACCATCTAGTATTTTAAAAGTTTAAAATACATCCTTATACTATATAAAATTAAAAGTTAAATAATTATATATGTATAAGTTAAAGAGTCAGTCTTACCTTTAGTAGGCCTCATTCACGAAGCCGGTCTATAAGGGGGGGGGGTATAAGGTTACTGCCTATAAAATGGTGGTTTAATGGGTGTCCACTCTCACCCACCGCTTCCTTGACTGGTGGAGGGTCGTTAGCCTAACGGGTAGGATAGGACATTCTCATTAAAAGTATAATACTTTAAGTAACTAAATGTCTTACAAATTCCCAATATTAGTTACTTAGGAAAAATGTGAATTTGGTGCTAACCCATGAAATTGCACTTTGCACCTTGCCAAGTCGTTAGTAAAGCATGTGTGGTTAACCGACACACTAACTTAGACTAACAAGGGTGGCAAAGGGTAGCTCGATGTTTGTCATAGATCAATGGAGTGTGTGTGGTTAACCGGCACATTGATTAGGTGATATGTAACATCGAGAGTACCAAGCTAATTTGCATGGTTATTCACACCTTGTTTGTGATCATCGACATCCCAGTCACAAACTTGAAGGGCATATCCGAGATTAAACATGTCATTGAAAAGTTCAATGAATCTCAAAAGAATCTAGGAATTTCAATTCATTTAAAACTTAATAATCAATTTCGTTTTTCATGATGTAAATTGGTAAATCGTCATTTACCTACCTTCAAATATTTTGCAATTGGATTACGACATTCCTCTTCCGAATTGTAAAATATTATGTTGGGTCCTAGCCTTAATATTTCATTTGGGTGTTATATTAAGGACTTAAATCAACCAACTTGAATTTCTCCCTTGTAGATGTCTAGTTCTGACAACTATGGTCTTCCCGAATCTTTTGAATATAATTCCTTATAAAGATCATTTTCCACAAGAGGATCAAGGTGAAAGATTAATCCATTTTTCGTGTTGCAGTGGAAATTAACTTCCTCCAGCTCCTCCAATAACTCTCCCTAACCCACAAGTTCAAATACTTAAAAAGTTCAAGTTCACTCAAGCCCTATTGGCTAGCAAACACCAAGATGGAAGGTCTGTGTGTGCACATGTCTTGGAGATGAAGTCACACATTGACAGGCTGAGAATGTTGGGTGTCGTTGTTTCAAGGAAGTTGGTTGTTGACTTCACTACTAGAAAAACAACCTTTTACGACGCGCAATGCGTGTCGTAAAACGCTCAGACGACGCGCAAATGCATGTCAAGGAAGGCCCTGTCATAACGAAGGACGACATGCTTTTGCACGTCGTCTATTTACGACGCGCATTTGTGACGTGCAATTACGACATGCATTTACGACACGCGTTTAGGACACGCATTGCGTATCATTAAAGCCCCTATCATAAAAGAATATGACACACATTTGCGTGTCATAAACTTCAACAACCATTTACGATATACATTTACGACACGTCTTTACGATACTCATTTACGCATAATACAAAAATATGGAAACAAATATATACCAAAACAATCAATTTCATCCAATAACATCATGTCAAAAAATTGTAATACATTGGTATTAAGGGGGTCTAATTGTACATTGCTATTAAGAGGTTTTCCCTAACTATATAACCTAATACTACATTGCTATTAAGGAACACCTTCTTGTTTGTACTTCTTATTGTTATGCTTCTTCTGTTTCCACATGATACATGTTTTCATCATCAACACATTAGTATTCAAAAAGGCTTCAAGCATCATCAATCTATGTTATACAATATTAAATAATATGGTCTGGGATTGAATGATGTTTTCTTCTCCTCTGCATCCTTTTGAATGAATCTCACAGTCACTGCTAACACCCGTTGCAAAAATATCAAATAATATACAGTTCAACATATACAACTAATCACGTGTCTTGATTGTAATTCGTGATTCTAACCTTTGACAGAAGAGACAACTTGCTTACTCCATGGTCAAGAGAGGAGAACTAGCCATACAAAGAAGAAACAATTATGTTGATGAAAAAAATCAATAATTACTTGCGCTTCCTCTCTCGTTTTGGAGGCTCCACCCAGTTATCACTCATAACTTCTTAAAGTCAACTTTGTTCTCATCCTTCATAAATTAAAACACACAGTCATCAAGAAGTTATGAGCATGACACAACATAGAAATACAACATAATCATAGGACAAGAGAACAGCTGAATACCTTGTCATCATCAAAATCATTCAAATCAGCAGTTGGATATGTAATCCATTAGAAGTTAGAATACAATAAAGAAAGTAAAAATCAAGATGCATGAAAATTAAATGTACACACTGTCGTCCATTTTGAACTTGATTGCATCTTCTATGAATTTTTTCATCTTGGCATCAAGTTCTGCAGTTGCCTCTTCTCCCTTAGCAATGATTTTATCGATATCTTCATCTGTGATTGTACTATCCTTTGAACTGAATACCATTTCAGCACCAAACCTCACCATTTGTAACAGCTCATCTTTGTTTACAAATGCCAAAAAAAAAAGATGACATGTTATTTAGAAGTAATGGAAACTAGTAAAAAGGTGATATGAAGAAATGCTTACTCTTTTGCTCAGCTAAATGTCATTGTTAAATAACCAAAGCATCAAGTGCAAGCTTTTTATAAGCTCTTTCAATGACTTTCTCCTCTATAGTGTGCTGTTTATGTTTACAATCAATTAAAATTAGTAAACAATCATTTCAACTATCAATCAAATGGAAAGGAAAGAAGCTATAAAGGAACCTCAGTGCAAAATCGGAACACTTGAACTTCTTTCTTCTGCCCAATTCTATGAGCACGATCCTGAGCTTGCAAATCCACTTGTGGATTCCTGCAAAATAAAATTTATATTCAATTAAACAAAACCACAAATTTTTTTATAAAGAAAAAGCCATGTCTTACCGGTCACTGTCATACAAAATGACAATATCTGCAATGGCAAGATTGATACCAAGCCCTCCAGCTCTTATTGATAATAAAAACACAAACTTTTCACTTCCTGGCTTATTAAAAGCATCAATGGAGGCATCACGATCTTCACCTCCAGTGTTTCCATCAATACGACAATATAAATATCCACAAAACATCAAGTAATCTTCTAGAATGTCCAGCAGCCTTGTCATCTATAATAGCATAAGTATACCACAATTTCTTTTAATATAATAACAAATATACTTCACTACACCAATACTAAATATAAATTTTAAAAGTATGAACCTGTGAGAATATTAACACCCTTGAATCACGTTCCTTCAATTTTGGAAGCAACTTGTCCAGAAGCACCATTTTTCCTGTGATTTTAACAGTAAATACATATGGTGAGCATCAGGTATAATAAGACACTTCAATTTTACCAAAAGGGTTATATGCAAGAGTTTCCATTTCTTCAAAATAAAGCATAAAATTTGTAATACTTGATCGTATCCAAACTACGAGGGACCATTTTAGATACAGGGAAGAAGTTGAGGGGTTCACCTGCATTTGTTACAAGATGGTCACCAGTAGTATACAAAGGACCAGGTTCAACTCCTTGAAACAGATATGGATGATAGCAACATTTTCTGAGCTGCATGGCAATATTCAACAGGCGCTTTCTCTCACCTCCAGCATTCACAACCTCAAGATCTTTCTGTAGTAAGGCCTTGTAATACTGTTTTTGCATTTGAGACATTCCAACCTTCAGAATGGTTTCTTTTTTAGGAGGTAAACCTTTCTCAACATCTGACTTCAATTTTCTTAGAAGAAAAGGTCTTAGCACCTAAACACAGATATAGCAGAAAAATTAATAAGACACATTAAAGAATGATATCGAAAACTTGATGCAATAAACAGCAATGCACTTTCAACTATCTGTCAATAATAGCAGCTCACTAACATTTTATATATTCATAGCATTGTATTTTCATTTTATTTTTCTTATTATCGCATTGTACGTATAAATGTGTTTTCAAGATTTTTTTTCTTATCAAGCACCAACATACCTTGTGAAGCTGTTGAACAACCTCTTCCTGATCATTTTCACCAGAAATTTGAAACCACTCATCAAAGGTTTCAGCAGAACTAAAAATCTCAGGTAGCAAAAAAGTTCAGCAGTGCCCAAATCTCATGAAGGTTGTTCTGTGTAAACACCCAAAAAAACATTGATCAACATAAAAATCCAAACATATAGAAGTAAGTAAGTAAAATGCAAAAGCTTTAAACCTGAAGTGGTGTGCCAGTGATAAGGAGACGATAATTGGTATTGTAAATCCTCATGGTCTTTGAAAGAAGAGAATTTTCATTCTTAATTCTATGAGCTTCATCAATTATGATATAACACCAACTAAATCGACGTAAGGTAGTCTTCTCTTTAATAGCCATTTCAAAACTGGTGACACATACATCAAACTTTCCAGCAACAAGTAGCTCTTCACGTATGTATTTCTGTAAACATCAGGTGTTAATAGTTTACAAGTGTATAAAAACTAGTTTTAAAATAACTGAAATCAAAATTTAAAAGCATACCCTTTCGTGTGGATTACCAAGAAACTTTACAGCACGCAATATTGGGCAAAAACGTTTAATTTCATTCATCCAGTTAACAAGTGTAGATTTAGGAGCCACAACCATGTGGGGTCCAGTTATTCCTCTAAATTCACGCAAATAACCAAGTAATGAGATGGTTTGTAGAGATTTTCCAAGCCCCTGAAATGATAATAAAAAAACATATTTGTTATCAAGTGAGTTGAGTTAATTTTGAAGTGATGATAAGGATAAAGATTATTGGCATACCATCTCATCTGCAATAATTCCATTTATACCATTCTCATATAGTCTTATCATCCAATTTAACCCAACACGTTGATAATCTCTCATCTTCCCTGTTATGCCTTTTAAAAGTTTAACATAACCCAAAGTCAAAATTCAGAAACAACTTCAAAGTCAAAAGTTTTCTTAACTAGCTTTGTTAAGTAGCTTGGGTATTTGCTTATTAATCAGGCTTTGTAAGATATGTTCTATGTCAAACATTGACATTTTTCAAGACAATGTAACAAATCATACCCAGTAATCTAAACAAAGTAGAATTAGAGTGGTTATTGAATTGTTTCACAAATTCAATCTTAAATTTAATGACACCAGTCTAAAGAGGAAAAAAGAGGGAATCTTACAAGAGGGCTGCACCAACAAATGTGTATGTCCTGCTCCAGCTTCTTCCTCTTTGAGATATTCTTCATCCTCTTCTTCTTTAGTCAACTTTGAAGCATGACGACCCCTAAGAACAAAAAAGAGCAAATAAATAAACATCAAATATGCTTCATGAATGTTAATTATGAGGTTTCAAAATTACCAAATCAGTAAAAGCATCAATGGAGGCATCACGATCTTCACCTCCAGTGTTTCCATAAATACGACATTATAAATATCTACGAAACATCAAGTAATCTTCTAGAATATTCTACTAGAAAAACAGTTGGTGTGCACCACATAAAAATAGAAGATGTTTGTTTTAACTACTTTTCATTGCTGTAGAAGATGTTTGTTTAGGATAAGCAATAATAAGCTTCGAGAAGAGGCACTAACCAGGAAGATAACATAAATGAATCATGGTGGCAATTTAACAAACAGCTGGTGTGCACCACATAAAAATAGAATTCCTCTACATTTTAAAGGCTTGAAAACCAACAGTTAAACAACGAACACAAGTTAACATGAATACGGTGGGAGGAACTGAGAAACATGAAGCCCTATATATACAAAAAAACATTCAACACCATTGAATCCCTGTTAATCAACCATACAAACATGCCCTTGTTTCTCCATCACAGAACAATCACAAAACATCATATCCTCAGCACCCATTTACAACCTTGAAGCGCCACCTCACAACCTCACATTCAAATCAAAAAAATAAATAAATAACAAGAAGGGAGAAGAAGGGGATGTAATCGAACCAGAAAAGGAAAAAACAATACATGCGGTTCTTGGAGGTGCGATCAATTTTGAGAAAGGAAAAAGATAACCGGTGATTTTAGGTGACCTGGTTTGTCGATCGAAGTGTAAAGAGGGAAAAAGACATCCGATCAATTAAGTGGAATTCGGTAAATATTTGGTGAGAAAATGAGATTCAAATCTGATAACAAAGACATTTTTCTGTTGATTTCCAACTCGAAATCATAAATTATGTTTCGACAAAAGTGTCGAATTTGACATGAAAATGTGGGGAGGTTTCAACAAGAACGGAGCAGAAGCAACAATGCAAAAGATAACATTAGGTATCGAGGGCTAATCCAGTTCGATTAAAAAGGTTATAAAACTCATAATAAAGGAAGACGAACCTCTGGAAAAAATATAGAAGCAGAATGTTGATGGTGATTGACCATGGAGTTTCGAGACCTTGATTGTAATGGAGCTGCTGTTCTACTTGGTATGGAAATCACTCTAAATTTGTAGTTGTGATACAACTCTTCCATTGATTGAGAGGCTGAGAAAGTACTTGAGGAACTGAAGATCGAGAGAAGTAGATGGAGGGTTTATGAACCGAAACCCTAGTTCCAACAATAGTCGTGGTCCAACAACTATACCCCTTTGATTTCAATTTCATGGCCTGGTGACCAAAAAACCTTCGATTTCACTAAGAACCGGAACCCTAGTTCCAACAATAGTCAATTTTGTGGCCCTATATAGAATTTTAGGCACGAGACTCCTTGATTTCTGCCGACTGGTATGGGAGAAAGGAGAAGCACACCGTGGTTTGTTTTTTTGGATATTTGACTGAGCGAATTAGAGCGGGGGCAGAGAATGGGTGAAGACATCGGTCGGAGATCAGAGATTTGGTGATGGTGTGATGCTGTTGTCGGGGAAAAGAGCAGTGACGGTGAGAGAGACATCGTGGCTCTCCGATTGAAGGTTTTTTTTGTATTTTATTGTGAGAGAGAGAGAGAGAAGAACGATTGAAAGAAGGTAGAGGAGAGCATGGCGGCTTTTCAATCTTTTGGAATTTCATTTCCCCCGCGAGCTTCTAAAACGCGTGTTTATAAAAAAAAATATAAAGCGACGTGCGCACACGACACACATTTTATCATATGCGCCCTCCGTGTTTTTTTGGACACTAATTTTAGGGCACGCACAAATGCGTGTCCTCTATCCTTCAAATTTTATAAGAGATGACATTATTTTTAGGACGCACGCTTTTGCGTATCGTAAATCACTACGTGTCATTGTTTGCGCGTCATTAAAGGCTGTTTTTTCTAGTTGCTTGGTTCTTCAATCACTCCCTAAGTCATATAGCGGGTTCTTTAAGGACTACTATATGGAAGATCACGACATTACCCTTATTGATCTAACATATCTGCTTGTTGCTGCTGAATCATCAATGATTTGGCGCACTGGTAATGCAAATTTGATTGGAAGATCTATTTCCCAAACTTCCATGGACATTGACAATGGTAACATTGGAAGTCCATGAAAACTTTCTCTTCCCAATGGAAAGGGATCGACCATGGTCAAGTCATTTGACCAAAATGGTAAAGAGAAAGGCTAAGTCTGAGATAGTCCCATGTACCATCCCCAAAGAGTCCATATGTTTCTGTTGCCAAAATAAAGGGCATTGGTTGCGAAGCTGCCATATTTACCTGAAAGATCGCAAGGATGGTAAAGTCAAAAAGTTTGAATCTACTTCAGGTAAGTCCACTATCTAACTCTATTAAGTTCCTATTTGGAGATTCTTAATACATGATGTAATGTAATTACATTTTGATGTTTTGTAGAATCGAAGGAAAGAAAGGAAGCTTAAAGTAAGAGTAAGCTGATTCTGATCGTGAAGAGACAGATTTCGATCGCATGGTTCGATGATCGGAATTTTGAGCTGTTGCTTAAGAGTTATGATAGATTGGTTAGGAATAGATAAAAACATAGTTTTCATATGTATTTGCATTGTAAGGAAAAGTTTTCCGCAATTTTTATAAATAAAGAATTTTTTTTGAAATTTATCTTATTTTAAGTTTCCTTACAATGGCATTTGTGAAAATTGTTGTTTATATGTTTCCATTGATAGCAATATTTGAAAATGTATTTGATTCTTTCGTTTGTGGTAGTGTCAATATTTACCAAATAAGGAAAGATTCTCATCACCCAAGTTTCAGTTGGATAGAAACTTGGAATCCCGCAACTTGTATTGTGTGATAAATGAGAACTTCATCTTTGGGAAATTAAGACTAATTCCTTGTTCACATGTATATGTGAGTCAAGTGAAGAACTAGGGGATCGGGTACATTTGGTTGTACGCTGATCAGGTCCACCACAAAGAATGATAAGACTATTCGTTATGATTTGCTAAAGTTTAGTAAATATGGTTGTGCTTACAAGATTAAGTGTAATTATGAATAATTGGAAAAGTTTCAATGTATGGCAAAACGAATAAGAAGAATCAAATTAGGCAGAAAGATAAATATTTCTCCAATCTGAGAAGAAAGGAAAGTACTTTAGTATCGTGTTTTATGATCATCTTAGTGATTATGAAACCATATCACAATTGATCATCTAAGGGCATCTTAGTGCATTTGTATGGCTAAGAAGAGGAATTATGAATTGTTGAAATGGTTAAATCAAGAAGATAAATCATACTACGTTCCAAAATCAGGTCTTAGAGTCATACTCGAAGATTGTAACTTAAGTGACATAGTCTTAAGAAAGGTTTATAAAACTCATTAAATGTAGAGTAAAATGTTTCTTATTCTTGTATATTTGAAATTGGTAAGTTGTGATGTTTTGGATAAGACAAATACCAAATAAAACAAATTGTGTGAAGTGTTTGTCTTGATAAGAAACCACACTAACTCTTGAATATTTGTTGTCACATAATGTTTCTTAACAAAGAGAATCTTATATGTCAAAAGGTCAGTGGGAGTCTGAAACAACTTGAAAAGTTTCTAGAACTAATCAAGAATGAAACTATTGTTTATCACTAGCACACGACTTGAGGTTTGGAACCTATCGTGCTGACGTATTCTTGTTTCCGTGCCCATTCCAGTTAAGTTGACTACACATGTGAGTTCTATGAGTTCTCAATTATTTGCATAACAATCAGGAAGCAATGGTAGGCCCTTGTGCTGCCAGGTGGCAAGAAATTAAGATTGAACAAGATCATTCCATATGAGTTTGGATTTGTCACTAACCTTGTCTTGTGATTATGGTTATGACAAACTCACATGGATAGGAACACATACATCATAAAATCTAAGTGTCATAAGGTTTCTCTCCAATTCATGAAAATGATTGTAAGGAAACTCTTTCACTAAGTAGATTTTAAGGAGATAGCAATTGTGATATTTGCATTCTCAAATTCGATTATGATTACGGCATCCCTATTCATAGTTCGAATTATGAGAAATGGCAAAAGGTCTAAACATTTGACACTTATTATTGTAAGTTCTGAAATTGTTTAGAAACACATGTAAGCTATCTAAGGAAAGGTGTATGAATTTGAGAAGCCTAGATAAAGTCTTATTGAAGCATCTCGTATCAGAAATCTGAACTTTGGTAAGAAAGTCAATAAGTATTGATTTCTAGAAGTCCAGCTGATTTTTGGGTACATGTCAAAGATAGTGGGAGCATAAGTGTTATGCTAATAAGATTGTAATTATTATGCTAGTGGGAGCACAATTATTACGTTAAGTGTTGCGAGTTAGCAATGTTAATTATAGAGAACAAAAGTTTCAATTCGCAAAGTTGCAGGGTTTGAAAAGTTGTTTTGCTATAATTAAGGGAGAGGAATTCATACTTCATTTTAAATCTAAAAGCTTAGATTGAGATTTTAATCAAATTTAGTCAAGGATATATATGAATATTATGTTGAAAAGATTCGACATAAGGAAATTCTATATATGGAAATGTTATAGCAAGAGACTGGTAAAGTATCACGTCTTTATGTAAGACATTATGTATCGTATCCCATATGCTTCGGGTATAGGATCGATTACATATGCTATAACATTAATCTGTTCTAATTTTCCAAATGCCTAGGGCATTAAGAGAGAAAAGGGACTAGAACGAGATATGACTAAAATGGTTAAGAAATTGTCGAGGACAATCTGAGGTTTACCAAAGATTGGTTGCTTATGGACAGTTGGAAGTATATTGTAAATTTTGGAAGGACCATGTTGACATACTCTGAGAAGAGGTAACTCTTGTTCAGAAGTGATAGTCAAAATAGGAATATGGAAATGTTTCCATAAGTGGAAGTTATTCTTTAAATCAGTATAAGATTAGAAAACTTAATGCAAGAAGGATGTTCAAAGGAATGTACTTTTAATGTGATACTTCGTTTCCATGGAATTGTTCTCCATTGGAATACTTTGTAATGTTTGTTGCCAAGTCTCTATGACTTTTGTGCATAGTCATTACAA